GCTTGTACGATTAGAAATTGTCTTAAAAAACACGTTTCAGCACGGCTTTCCTCTTCATGAAACTGGTGGTGAAGTGAAGCAAAGAGCGAATAGATTCGATAGGATTTACACAAAAATACAACACAATTTCAACGTGTTGCTTCGACTAATTGCGACTGTACACAATATTTACAACTCCGTTTTTTGGCCTCCAAAGTCTCACCGACGCAGCGGATGACTTCATTCCCATGCATCCTGTACTACCCTTCTATTTTCTGACTTTACATCCCATAGTGGAACTTATACACTTTCAGCTTTATCTAAGCATCACATTCACGAATAGGGAAGCCAAACTGCAGATGGGACTCGTAAGACAATTACTACAAGTTTTTATTTTCGCTGAGTTTTTTAATTGCTTTTGTCTTTGCTTTTCCAGTTTTTATTATGCGTTTTTTGCAGCTATGCAACGCAGAAAACGCATATTGGCGAGAGGTGTATGTCTGTGTTTTTATGTGTGTGTCTGTGTGTGCGCTGCGCGTCTGTACCGATTTTTCATCTCGAAACCCACAAAAGTTACGGGGCTGAAAGTTGGGGAACTTAATCTACATGCGTGTACGGGCTCTCATATCCGAAATGGGCTCTCTTACCTGCGTGGTACCCACGTACAGGCTCGCCAAAATTTTTTTCGAGTAAGTTATTAACTCAGGAACCTGAAAAGTTAGAAGGCTGGAATTTTAAAGGGATGTTCCACGTCCAAGTAGATATTAATGAGTTCATACTAGCTCTCGGGTATGCGTGGTGTCCACGTACGGTTTCGTAAAAGTTTTTTGCGGGTAAGTCGCTAACTCGGGAATCAGAAAAGCTAGAAAGCTGAAATTTTGAGGGGATGTTCCCCGTCCAAGTAAGTCTTAATGAGCTTCAAACCCAGCCTCTGGGTACGCGTGGTACTCACGTACGGGCACACCAAAGTTTTTTACGGGTAGGCTGCTAACTCGGGAACCAGGAATGCTTAGAGGCTGAAATTTTAAGGGGACGTTCCCCGTCCAAGTGAGTATTGATGAGCTCAAGCCCAGCCCTCCAGTACGCGTGGTACCCACGTACGGGCCCGCCAAAATTTTTTTCGGTAAGTCGCTAACTCGGGAATCTGAGAAGCTAGAAGACTGGAATTTTGAAGGGATATTTCCCAACAGTCCTGGCGATCAGTATAAAATTCTTTTAGCTAGAAGCATCTGCCGGAAAAATCAGTGCCGTTAACGATAAAAATCTGCGAGGAGCTACGCAAAAAGCGCACATTCGCAGCCCGTGTATTGACCAATTATGTTTGTACTGCTGTGCTGTTCCTTTCTCTTCACTGCTGCCTCCAGTTCTTGCCTCTAACTCATGACAAGTACCCTTGTTCCCATCCTCTATCCTGCCTCCAGAGCGGCATCTGGGCACCCATCAC